CAAATTTCATGGCCTATGAGCATGCTTCTCACGCCTAAAGCCTTCATCAATGTTAATTCATTTATTAGTAATAAGTCATGTGATTAGCACTTAAACCCCGCTTAAGGAATTAGAAATTGCCCAAAGTGCCGTAAGCCTTGGAGCAAATATTCATGTGAAGTCTCAAAATTTTCTTTGCATGAGGTGGCCTCTTCACAACCCCTATGTAACGACTAATCAATATGGTAGATGACTAAGCACATAAGTTACACCTAAGGCTCTTTTTGTGTGGCAAGTGTTGAGATTTCATTGGCCATATATTTTCTTATCCCTTCCACCTTATTTCACCGTACATATATATGGGAGAGTTGGGTGAAAAATTCAGTTCCTTCTTCTGATATAGGATATTATACTAGACCGGGTTTAATGGATACAACGAATACATATTGAAAGATAAGCCCACATATGGACTAAGCATAATGATATGGGCAAAGCCCAACTTGAGCCTGAAGGTACACTCCCCCTATAAAAGGGGGCCAAGGTAGCTCATTCTCTCTATTCTCTATTCATTCATTACTACACATTCTATCTCTTGATCTGAGCACTGACTTAAGCATCGGAGGCCCGACTCCGGGGCCACCCCCGGCATTGGGTTCTGCAGGTGCGGAGGCCGTTCGAGTTGAAGGAGCCTGGGTGAAATCTATTCACTTCATTGGCGCCGTCTGTGGGGCTCGTAAAAGAAAGTCAAGCGGAGTTCCGACTGAAAAAATTCGAAAACCTCCTTCTCCTCCACCGGCCGCCACCTCTGCCGTCGGCCGTCGGAAAACATGTTCTGATCGGAAAATCGTCTACGTCATCAGATAGATCCTCTCAAGTTGATTCTACCCTTAAATTTTCACGTAAAAATTCATCCGGGAAGGCCGTCAATTTTGCGGTCAAAGTTCCCAGATCTAGCAAAAAATCGGTCAAAATCGAGCATTCAAGTACATTTTCCCAACGATTCGAGAAGGCTATGAGAAATCTGGGAACACCATTGGAATCCTCTCGTCGAGGCGAATCTACAGTGCCTAACGTCCGCCATGCGCCGCCGTCCGCCGCCGCCGACCGCCGCCGCCTCCGCCGTCGTCCGCGCGGTCAAAGTCGCCCGATCTGAAAAATTCTTGCACCATAGCGAAGCTCTCCTCATCCTTGTTCTACCCTCAAAATTTCGAGCAAAAATTCCTACGGGAAGGTTATCAATTGCACGGTCAAATTTTGTGGATCTGGGAAAAATTAGTCAAAAGTCTGTCATCTTCTTCGATTTTCT